TGTGAAAAACGAGAAAAATCTCAGTTCACGTGGGAATAGACAACGACCAGATACCAGCGCCGAGATAACATCAGTGATGGAATTATCCAGCAAAGACTTTTAAGCAGACCTTTAAAAATGTTCAACAAGTAAGAGCGAATGCTCTGGAAATGGGAAGTTAGAAGGTATCAGCAGAGAACTGGCAACTACACAGAAGAAGCACTTAGAGGTTTTGTAACTGAAGCGAACCCCCAGATAGTCTGTCTGGGGCGCAGAACAGCGATGGCAGCAGTGAGCGAGTGAACTTTAAGGTGCAGCAATAGACGTTGCCCATCTGAGCAGACAGAGAAAGGACAGGGGGACAACAGCCTTAAGGACACGCGCGGCAACACTGGCGAGTCTTGCATTCCCTCCGAAATGGCTTAAAATTCGTTTTTCCAAATTATAAAAATAAAGCATGAACAACATGCCTGTGAAATGCCCAGACGACAGAGGTAGGCAGAGTGAGACAGGGCAGCCCTCTTCCCTGCGAGACCCCGCTGGTTGGTCCGTGACAGTTTGGTGCCGACCCCCCCAGGCCTTTCTCTGAGCCAGATCACATACAAGTAAATTCCACCCACGTACGTACGTCTGCGGTGGAATCACAGGCCGTGTGAGTCCGGTGCACTCTCTGGTACGTGCACGCTAGGTCCCAGGAAACTTGTGGGCCACGTAACGGGACTCAACGCCCTTCGATTATCCGTACAGGACAGTCTGTGTCCTGAATCCAGTTTCTGATGGACCTTGGGCTTGGCGGTAGTGTCTGCCGTCTGCCGCCCTGTTGTGTAACCTGAACCAGAAAGGTGCGTTTCTTGGAACTAGCCGAGTCGAGGCAGCTTCCTAGGAAGGCCCAGGGCAGTGGCTCTTAGGAGCTTTCAAATGCTTTTGTCCTCCCCTGGGCGGTTTACTGTGTTTTTATGAAAACAGCGACAGCCAAAGAAAACTACCCTTTCACATTTATCTAATTCCCAGTGGAAGCCTGTGAGATTTTAAACTATTTTTTAATCTCTTAAACATTGTTGGAGCAGCGGGGGACACTTCCTCGGGCCTTGCCCATTGGTCGGCGGGCACAGTTCCCGCTGGCTCGTGTCACGCTTGTGTGTGGTTCGGCTGGGCGCACAGTCAGCACTCCCCAGGAGACGTAATCACGTACAGGGGCGAAATTTTCCTTTCTTTGCTTCCAGGTTCTTTGGATTAAATCAACGTAAGACAGATGAGCAGGAGAAAAGCAAATTTAATTTCATATGTACAGGAGCCCCATAAAAAAAGACTGAAAGAAGCGACCAAAGCAGGAAGCTTTTATATCTTTTGGACAAAGGACAGTAAATTTGTGAAGACTTGGCAAGACAAAGGGATTTGGGCTTTGAGTGGTAAATTACTGAAGAAGTAACAAGTTTCGTTCATACAGCCTTCTCGGCCCTGGACTCCCTGTCCCTGGTGACGAGGATGCCTTCTACCCTCTTGGTACAGGGAGGGCACCTTCACACCTGCTTTCACGGAGACAAAGATGGCCAGAGTGGCCTTGTACCAGCTGTGTCTCTCCAAAATAATCGGTATGCCAAAGCAGCACATTTTGGGCTGGCATATTCTGCTCCCCTTCAGGAGACTACTCAGGACTTTGAGAAACCTCAAATTTGAGGAGAGTAAGGCTATTTCTAAACTTTCTCTTAAGTTCATTGTCTAAGCTGCACTCAGAATAGTACTTATTCCGAGCATCTCGTCAGTGTGAGGAGGCACTTTGGACGCAGGCTTCTCGTTGGCCAGAAGCTCCATAGTGCTCCCTGAATTACTAGGTCAGAGTTGGGCTGTGCCTGTGTTGGAGAGTGAATGTGGCCTTGGGGCCATGAAGGGAACACTATTTTAGGAAATCAAACTCTTAGTTCAGAGACGGCGGGTCAGGGACGTGGACAGGAAGAGGCTCTGGAGTCAGGCTACCTTGGTTCAAATCCCACCCGGCCACTTACCGGCTGTCGCTCAGCCGGGGAAGTTACTGGGACCCTCTGCTGCTGTATCTGGGAAAAAAGGGGGCGGGGGAGATGATGCTGATAGTACTCGTATTGGTTTCCTGTTGCTGCTGTAGCGTTTCCACAGACGGTGGCTTGAAACGGTACAGCGTCATTCATTGCGCTGTGGCTCTGGAGGCGGGAAGTCCGAAGTGGGTCTTCAGGCTGAAGTCACGGCGTTGGCTGAGCTGGTGTCTCTGGAGGCTCCGGGACAGAGTCTTGTCTTTCTCCTCCAGCTTCTAGAGGTGCTGGCATTCCCTGGCTCGTGGCTGTGTCCCTGTCTCTGTCCGTGGACACATTGCCTTCCGCTTCTGTGGTCACATCTCCATCTGCTTCCGTTTTTAAAGGACAGTTGTGGTTATTTTGGGCCCTCCCAGATAATCCAGGATAGTCTCCCCATCTCAAGGTCCATTACATCAGTCACATCTGCAGAGTCCCTTCTGCTCTATAAGATGACAGTCACAGGTCTGGGGATTAGGACGTGGGCGTGTTTGGGGGGCCATCGCTCAGCCCAATGCAGTAGCAACCTCCTGGGAGTGTTATGGTTGGGCGACGCTCCTCGGGTCTCAGATAGGGGCTCCGTCTGAAAAGGTGTCTTCTGGGCGGTTCTCTGACCACCCGTCTGAAGGACCAGCCGGCCAGCCACCCTCCCCCCATCAGCTGTCACTGTCACAGGACTCTCAGCCATTTTCTGCAGAGCCCCTTTCTCCATCTTAAATTCTTGGTCATTTGTTTGTTTATCGCCTGCCTCTCTGCCTTTATCTACCAGGACATAAAAATCTGGTCGATCACTTTATCTCCAGGGCCCCAGGTGGTACCTGGCGTTAGTGGAGGAGTGATGCGTATGTGTTAAGCAGATGAATGAATGTCAGAATGTCAAAACGGACCGCTTCGTAGACTGGTTTCTTCTTATTTCCATGACAGCATAGGCATTATCCTACATCCTAAATGATCTGTGATCTCGTTTCGCTAAGTAACAGCCTCTGGTTAGGGGTATATGATTCACCTAACTAGTCTCCATTAGAATGGGCCCTGAAGTCTCACTTGGCTTTTGATCCCGGTGAAATCCAGTGGTCTGTGGCAAGGGTGGGTCTGTCGGCCTGTCTGCTAGGATGCTGTGTCAACCAAATGAACCAGTCTTAACCTCCTTGACCTCAAAGGGTAGAGACAGCAGTGTGATAGATGCGTCAGATGAGCAGCGCCATCCGGTGCCCTGGTGGAGACCACAAGGCAACTCAGAAAGCTTTAGGAAGAGGAACCTTTTACAGGTGGATTAAGGTGGATGTGAAAGCTAATGCTGGGTCGCGATGGAGGACGCCTCTGTTAACTGCCGATTTTTGCTTTAAGTTTCAAGATTTAGTGAAAGTCAGCCTGTCATCACACGGTATATAATATATGGTTAAAACGTTGTAAATGGTACTTGATTCTAAAATACGTAATAGAAACTACCGTTAAAGTAACTTGCAGGCACAGCCTGCCAGAAGAGGTACGCAATGTGTTTTGTTGAGTGTACTTAACACATATTTAACACACGCTTAGTAACGCACAGCGCACGTTTAAGCTGAGTGAGCCTGTCGCTCGGGTTGGCTGACTTCTAAAGTGTATGTGGTACTAGGTGTTGGTCGAAGGCACGGAGAGGCTAAGGACCCACGGCATCACAGTGTTAGCCCTCCTCCAGCTGCAGGAATCGTCCCCAGAAAGTCACCCGTGACCCCTCAGGCTGCGTCAGCTGCTTCCTGGGGCTCTTGGACACCTCGGAGATTTCTCTCGGTCCTAGAGCAGGGCGCGTGTGTCATGTGCTAATCGTTTGCTGGTCTGCGAGACTCAGGGAAGGACCTTGTTCATTTTTATTCCTGGGCCAAGCACACAAGTGCTTGTTGGGTGGGAGGGAGGGAGGGAGCCCGATTCCACAAATGCCAAGTGTCTCCTCTGGGCTGTGTTCTTGACACAGTCTCCACTGAGGTTCCTGCTCTGAGGTTTTACAAGTTGTGATTAAGCGCCGCCGTGAGAAAATAAAATCTCTCCACGGGACCGACTGGGCGGGACGTGCTTCTGTGGGTTGGGCATTTAGGACGAGATCCGAAGGGTTCATCACCAGCCTTCTGATAGCTTGTTTCCCTTGCGAAGGAAAATGTCAAACCCACGGGCGGGGTCAGAGAATGATTCAGTGAATACCCATACACGCTCCACTGAGACGGGACAGTTGGCATTTTCCCTTACTTATTGTGCCTGTTTTTTAACAACGGAACCATTTGAAAGTAAGTTGCAGATATGATAACATCTCACCCCTAATATGTCAGCACATGGCTCTTCAGAGTAAAGACTTTCTCCTTCATAACTATGAAGCTGTTAACACACCTGAGAGTTCTCAGCGGTTCCGTAATAGCATCTGACCATGACCGTGTTCAGACCGTGTTCACAGGAACAACATGTAGTTACTTGTCCCTTTAGTGTCTTAGTAGAAAAGTTAGTCTACCATTTTTTCACGTATGCATTTACCTTTTTTTAATGACCATGGGTCAAAGATTCATTTAACACATTAAGGAGATGAGTAAGATGGTAAACTTGATAACAAGGACATTTGAGAATCTACGTATTTATAGATATAAAAACAAAAGACAATTAGAATAAGATTGCTAGGTTAGATTTAAACTAATGGGGACAAGAAAATAATCTCTGAAGTCATCGTTTCTGTTGGACATAAATCCACATGTTAATGTGTCACTTCACAGTCTCTGGGCGCCAACCAAGTCATAGGTGGCACAGGCACGTTCTCCTGGAGAATTAACCAGACTCTAGGCAGGCCTGTTAAAATGCCTAGGTATGAACTGAAAGGACACTACCCACCCTGGGCTCTTTTGTCTTTCTACATTTTGAATATTTTTTTTCTTTTTTGCGCCTACAGCACCTGGTCTTCCTAGGTGGTCTCCCATCCAAGTACTAACCAGGCCTGACCCTGCTTAGCTTCCGAGATCAGACATCAGGCTTGTTCAGAGTAGCGTGGCTGTAGACCATGGACCGTGGCTCCACTGGGGCGTGAACTCAGGACCTTCTGCGTGTAAAGCAGACATGCTAACTGCTATACTATGGAACCACGTCCGAATAATTTTTTTCTTAACAAGGCTTTCTTTAATTCTCCCAGCCAGAATCAACCTTTTTACTTTTATCCCATTACTTAAAAAAAAATGGCCTTATCGAGGCGTTATTACTATACCATAAAATTCACTCATTGTACATTTAGTGATTTTTCCTAAATTTATGCAGTTACGCAGCTCTCACTGCAATCCAGTTTTAGAACATTTTTGTCACTCAAAAAAGTTCTCATGCCTGCTCGCACTGGATCTCCACTCCCACCCCCAGCTCCAGGCAAATACTGATTTGCTTTCTTGCTACAGACCTGCCTTTTCTGTGCACGTAAGTGGAATCATGAAATTACCTTTGGTCTGGCATTTTTCCCTTAGCGTAATGCTTCTGAGGCTCGCCCGGGAGCAGCCCGTATCAAGTGTCAGCGCTGCCATCCATCCTTCAGCCTAGGGACTTTGGGTCATTTTTGGCGTTGAGCTAGTACGAATAACGCTTCTGTGGATATTTCCGTGCAAGTCTTTGTGGATGTGTATTTTATTTCTCTTGAGTGGGATCCTAGGAGTGTGGTAGGTGTACATCTTCTAGTACGAACTATAAGAATATGCCAAACTCTTCCAAAATGGCTGCACCTACAGTGACTTACGAAAATTCCAGTTTCTCCACATACTTGTCACCACTCGTCATTGTCTGCTCTGATTATAGCCTGGTGGACATCGTAGGCGTCATCTGAGTGAGGAAGTTTCTGGTGTGATTTGGTAATGCCATTATCTGGAAAATCACCTGCGGACAGACTGGCTGGATAGTCCCTAGTCAGGGACTTGTGAATTTCCACCGCAGACGGAGGGTCTTGTGCTGTCTCAAGCTGAGTTTGTTTAGTCCTTGGACATTGGACCATGGGTGGACCAGAAAGAAATTTGACCTTACGCATTTAAAATTTTTTTTTTTTAATTGAGGTATAATTTACAACAGTGGAATGCTCTCCTCCGAAGAGAACTGTCTAACCAGAGTGGATGAATGCACGTCCAGACGTCCCTGTCAGCCCTGGCCCGTTCCCATGTCCCTGCCCACTCGGCCCCGGGAGCCTCACGGGTCAGAGCTCCATCAGCAGGGACCTGGGTATGAACTCTGACATTTTGACTGGACTAATCTCAGTGTCGAAAACATGAGCCACGTGGAGTATAAGAATCAAAACTCACGATGCCCCGGGTACCCGGAGGTGGCGCGCGCTGGTATTTTGATGGAGCTCCTCTCGGTAACGTACATTCCTCTTTTTCTATGAAAACCTCACAAAGCGGAGCGTGGCCGTGTCGCTTTTGAGAGCACACTTTCAGCGTGACGTCTGCGCGCCCGGCGGCCCCGGCTTTGTGACAGGGGGGACATCGCCCGCAGCGCACGGCCACGGACCTCCCCGGCCGGCCGGGCGCGGGGCACCGGGCG